GTATGAATGTAAGTTAGGGACCTTAGATTGTATGCTCCTTGAGGGTTAGGGACTGATGTGAATGTACTGCGCTGTGTAAATTGATGGTGTTATATAAGTACCTGAAATAAATAAACTACAAATATAAGTCATTTTTGCCATTGTCCCCGATTAATTGGTTTATGTAAGGTTTCTCCAAGAGCTTTTTTAGCATTTCCTCTGGGGAAAAAAGGTGGACAAAGGCTGAGCCAAACACACATGGTTTCCTTTGACTTCCTGACCCACAGACAAAGCAGGAAGTAAGAGAATATTTCCCTAAAGCAAAGGAAATCAGCTTTCAGGGCCCATTTACACTACTGCATTGGAGTAATATATACTCACCAGCCACTTAATGAGGAACACCTTGCTAGTACCGGGTTGGATCCAATTTTGCCTTTAGAACTGCCTTGATTCTTCATGGTGTAGATTCAACAAGGTGTTGGAAACATTCCTCAGATTTTGGTCCATATCGACATGACAGCATCACGCAGTTGCTGCAGATTTGCTGGCTTCACATCCATGATGCGGATCTTCTGTTCCACCACATCCCAAAGGTGCTCTATTGGATTGGGATCTGGTGACTGTGGAGGCCATTGGAGTACAGTGATCTCATTGTCATGTTCAAGAAATCAGTTTGAGATGATTTGAGCTTTGTGTCATGGTGTATTATCCTGCTGGAGGGAGCCATCAGAAGATGGGGACACTGGAGTCATATGTCATGGTGCACGGTCCTGCTGGAAGGAGCCATCAGAAGATGGGGACACTGGAGTCATATGTCATGGTGCATCATCCTTCTCGAAGTAGCTATCAGGAGATGGGGACACTGGAGTCATATGACATGGTGCATTATCCTGCTGGAGGGAGCCATCAGGAGATGGGGACACTGGAGTCATATGACATGGTGCATTATCCTGCTGGAAGGAGCCATCAGAAGATGGAGACACTGGAGTCATATGACATGGTGCATGATCCTGCTGGAAGTAGCCATCAGAAGATGGGGACACTGGAGTCATATGACATGGTGCACGATCCTGCTGGAAGGAGCCATCAGAAGATGGGGACACTGGAGTCATATGTCATGGTGCATCATCCTTCTCGAAGTAGCTATCAGGAGATGGGGACACTGGAGTCATATGACATGGTGCATTATCCTGCTGGAAGGAGCCATCAGAAGATGGGGACACTGGAGTCATATGACATGGTACATGATCCTGCTGGAAGGAGCCATCAGAAGATGGGGACACTGGAGTCATATGACATGGTGCATTATCCTGCTGGAAGGAGCCATCAGAAGATGGGGACACCGGAGTCATAAAGGGATGGACATGGTCAGCAATAATACTCAGGTAGGCCATGGCGTTTAAACAATGCTCAATTGGTGCTAAGGAGCCCAAAGTGTGCCAAGAAAATCTCCCCCACACCATGACACCACCACCACCAGCCTGAACCGTTGATACAAGGTAGGATGGATCCATGATTTCATGTGGTTTATGACAAATTCTGACCCTACCATCTGAATGCCACAGCTGAAATCCAGACTCATCAGATCCGGCAACAGTTTCCAATCTTCTACTGTTCAATTTTGTTGATCCTGTGTGAATTGTAGCCTCAGTTTCCTGTTCTTAGCTGACAGGAGTGGCACGCGGTGTGGTCTTCTGCTGCTCATCTGCTTCAAGGTTCAATGTGTTGTGTGTTCAGAGATGGTATTCTACATATCTTGGTTGTAATGAGTGGTTATTTGAGTTACTGTTGCCTTTCTATCATCTCGAACCAGTCTGCCCATTTTTCTTTGACCTCTGACATCAACAAGGCATTTTCCACACAACTGCCACTCACTGGATATTTTCTCTTTTTCGGACCGTTCTCTGTAAACCCTAGAGATGGTTGTGTGTGAAAATCCCAGTAGATCAGCAGTTTTTGAAATACTCAGATTAGCCCATATGGCGCAAGCAACAATGCCACGCTCAAAGTCACTTAAATCCCCTTTCTTCCTCATTCTGATGCTCGGTTTGAACTTCAGAAAGTCGTCTTCACCATGTCCAGATGCCTAAATGTATTGAGTTGCTGTCGTGATTGGCCGATTAGCAATTTTTTACCAAGCAATTGAACAGGTGTATCTAATAAAGAGGCCGGTGAGTGTATGTTACATCAGGGGTGGGCAACTGTGGCCCTCCAGCTGTTGCAGAACTACAAGTCCTATGAGGCATTGCAAAACTGACAGTTACAAGCATGACTCCCAAAGTCAGAGGCATGATGGGACTTGTAGTTTACCAACAGCTGGAGGGCCACAGTTGCCCCCCCTTGAGTTACATGCATTGGCACCCTAATGCACCATGCAGACGAATGTGTGCAGCAGTAGCAGTGCAGCATACTGTTTGGGAACGCACTGGCGTGTGCTGCTCTGCTCGGCCAAAAATGGTACATGAACCTTTCTATATTCAAATAAATGGGCTGCCTTAATGCAATGTATGTTAACCAACACACCACAGTGGTGGGAATGAGCCCCTTAGATAGGTGTCACTGGTACAGGTGTCCATATCAGAAGATTGTTCCTCACCCTCTGTTCATGCAACAGCTCCAAAATGTTGCATCTACCCATCGCTTTCTGTCTATCTGACAATGGCCACCAACCCTAAGAGGGCTCCTATACAACTGCGGTCAGGGGGTGGTAAAAATAGATGGTTGAACAGAATTTTTACCAACCATCCCTGCAAAGGCAGCCGTAAAGGAGGGAAAAAAACTATCCCCACTGTCACCTTAGTTGGGCAGTACACCTTCTTCCTTCCAGTGACACCACCAATGCTGAGACATTTTTTTCCATCCAGTGACACCACCAACACAGGGTAATTTTTTCCTTCTCATGACACCACGGACATAGGGCATTTTTCCTTCTAGTGACATCATTGAAGCAGGGATATTTTTTCCTTCCAGTGATACCACAGATGCAGGGGGATTTTTTATTTTCAGTGACACTTACCAATGCAGGAAATTGTTTTTGCTTTCCATTGACACCAAGAATGCAAGAACAATTTTCCTTCCCAGAGATGCACGGGCATTTTTTCTTCCAGTGATACCACTGATGCAGGGACATTTTTCCTTGCAGTGACACCACCAAAGCTGGGTAATTTTTCCTTCCAGTGACACCACTGCTGCAGGGACATTTTTTCTTCCAGTTACATCACCAACAAGGGCATTTTGTCCTTTTTTTGACACTACAAACGCAGGGACATTTTCCTTCCATTTCCACCAGACACATGGACATCTTTCCTTCCAGTGATACCACTAACGCAGGGGCGATTTCTCTTTCTTTCTGACACCATGAATGAAGGGTCCTTTTTCTTCCAGTGACACCACTGCTGCAGGGACATTTTTTCTTCCAGTTACATCACCAACAAGGGCATTTTGTCCTTTATTTGACACTACAGACGCAGGGACATTTTCCTTCCATTTCCACCAGACACAGGGACATCTTTCCTTCCAGTGATACCACTGACGCAGGTGCGATTTCTCTTTCTTTCTGACACCATGAATGAAGGGTCCTTTTTCTTCCAGTGCCACCATAGACCCAGGGGCAATTTTTCTTTCTAGTGACACTAATGCTGCAGCGACATTTTTCATTCATTCAATTTCCCATTCAGCGACACCGCAGACGCAGGGACATTTTTCCTTCCAGTGACACCATGGATGAAAAGACATTTTTGCTTCCAGTGACACCATGGAGGCAGGGACATTTTCCCCTTTAATGACATCACCAAAGCAAGGACAATTTTCCTTCCAATAACACCACTGATGCAAGGGCACCTCTTCTTTTTAGTGACACCACAGATGCAGGGGCATTTCTTCCTTCCAATGACACCACCAACAGAGCCATTTTTTCCATTATAATGGTGCTGAGGAATTTCTTTTGACATCACTATTAGCCCCATATTTTTCTGTGGGCTATAATGCTCTATTAAACCCATATGTAACATATGTTTTGGTGTGGCGTGCTGCGTTTGGCATCTTCACCCCGGGCACTGGGTGACCTTGTCCCGGCACGGTGTGGCTGCATTAGGCATACAGGGGTCATTTTAGTCTGTAGCTGAAGCTCAGAGGGCGTCAAATCTACACTGCTAAGACAGGTAAATCAATGCTTTTTCCTGCACAGGGAGGGGTCTGTATATAGGAATGATCCCGAGGTTACTGGAACCTTCCCAGTGTCATTTTCCCCGGGGCCCCCTCCCTACCCCAGGCCCCATAGTAGCAGCATGGGCTGCTGTGGCTATTGTTACACCTCTGGATGACACCTTTGACAACTACGACAAATATCACTTTGTCCACCTTTCTCATGCCAGTTTCAGCTGTGTAATTTGGTCTAACCCCCCCATGTGTATTGCTAAACATTTTTTATTTCTTGGGAGCCTGCATGTGATCAGCACAGGACCAATCAGCACTGTCCAGACAGAGGGTCAGGGGTTCTGCATCCTCCTAGAGCAGAATGAAAACTCCTCCTACAAGCTTTAACCAGTGCTCTGTTGGACACTGATCGAAGTCACAAGACTGCTCTAACTGCTGATGAGGAAAGGTATTTAACAGTTTATATTTACTAAAATAATGTATTTCCATGTAGTGTGTGCTGTGGCAGATCAGATATAGTGAATGCAGGGTTCCGGGGAGAGCGGATATAGTGAATGCAAGGTCCGGGGAGACCAGATATAGTGAATGCAGGGTCCAGGGAGACCAGATATAGTGAATGCAGGGTCCAGGGAGACCGGATATAGTGAATGCAGGGTCCGGGGAGACCGGATATAGTGAATGCAGGGTCCGGGGAGACCAGATATAGTGAATGCAGGGTCCGGGGAGACTGGATATAGTGAATGCAGGGTCCGGGGAGACCGGATATAGTGAATGCAGGGTCCGGGGGAGACCGGATATAGTGAATGCAGGGTCCGGGGAGACCAGATATAGTGAATGCAGGGTCCGGGGAGACCAGATATAGTGAATGCAGGGTCTGGAGAGACCAGATATAGTGAATGCAGGGTCCGGGGAGACCGGATATAGTGAATGCAGGGTCCGGGGAGACCGGATATAATGAATGCAGGGTCCGGGGAGACCGGATATAGTGAATGCAGGGTTCCGGGGAGACCAGATATAGTGAATGCAGGGTCTGGGGAGACCGGATATAGTGAATGCAGGGTCCTGGGAGACCATATATAGTGAATGCAGGGTCCGGGGAGACCAGATATAGTGAATGCAGGGTCCGGGGAGACCGGATATAGTGAATGCAGGGTCCTGGGAGAGCGGATATAGTGAATGCAGGGTCCAGGGAGACCAGATATAGAGAATGCAGGGTCCGGGGAGACCGGATATAGTGAATGCAGGGTCCAGGGAGAGCGGATATAGTGAATGCAGGGTCTGGGGAGACCAGATATAGAGAATGCAGGGTCCGGGGAGACCGGATATAGAGAATGCAGGGTCTGGGGAGAGCAGATATAGTGAATGCAGGTTCTAGGTTTAGTAACACTTTTAATGTAGGTGATCTATATCTACATCTATAGCTAAAACATTTTTTTAGAGAATAGTTAAAATGTTACTAAACCCAGGCCCCTGCATTCACTATATCCGGTCTCCCCGGACCCTGCATTCACTATATCCAGTCTCCCCGGACCCTGCAGTCACTATATCTGGTCTCCAGGACCCTGCATTCACTATATCCGGTCTCCCCGGACCCTGCATTCACTATATCCGGTCTCCCCGGACCCTGCATTCACTATATCTGGTCTCCCCGGACCCTGCATTCACTATATCTGGTCTCCCAGGACCCTGCATTCACTATACCTGGTCTCCCCGGACCCTGCATTCACTATATCTGGTCTCCCCGGACCCCCTGGTCTCCCCGGACCCTGCATTCACTCCCCGGATATCTGGTCTCCCAGGACCCTGCATCTCACATTATACCTGGTCTCTCCGGACCCTGCATTCACTATATCCGGTCTCCCCGGACCCTGCAGTCACTATATCTGGTCTCCAGGACCCTGCATTCACTATATCCGGTCTCCCCGGTCGCCCCCTGTCAGTGCTCACCAATGCCACCTGCCAGTGCCTATCAGTGCCACATATCAGTGCCTATCGGTGCACATCAATGCCACATAGTGCCCATCTGAACTGCCTTTCAGTGCCACCTATCAATGCCAGTCAGTGCTGCCAGTCAGTGCCACCTATCAGTGCCAGTTAGTGCCGCCTATCAGTGCGCATCAGTGCCGCCTATCAGTGCCCATCAGTACCACCTAACAGTGCCAGTCAGTGCTGCCTATCAGTGCCATATATGAGTGCTGCGTTTCAGTGCCCATTAGTGATGCCTGTCAATGCCCATCAGTGCCACCTACTAGTGCCTCCTCATCAGTGCCCGTCAGTGCAGCCTATCAGTGCCCATCACTGCAGCCTCATTAGCGCACATCAATGAAGGAGAAAAATCATTTATTTACAAAATTTTATAACAAAAACTAAGAAAAAACTTTTTTTTTTCAAAATATTCAGTTGTTTTTGGTTTGTTTAGCAAAAAATAAAAAACCCAGAGGTGATTAAATACCACCAAAAGAAAGCTCTATCTGTCTCAAAAAAATTATAAAAATTTCATATGGGTACAATGTTGCATGACCGCGCAATTGTCATTCAAAGTGTGACAGCGCTGAAAACTGGCCTGGGCAGGAAAGGGGTAGAAGTGCCCGGTAGGCAAGGGGTTTAAACATTGGTGGGGAGCTAGGGATGTCAGCAAAGGATTTAAAACTTCCCTGGAGTTCCACTTCCCAATTTTTACTGCAATGGAATGTTCATCACTTCTGTATTCATAAGAAAAGCTAAAAGCATGAAGAGAAGATTAAATATCTCCCCTTCCAGACACAAGAATAATCCTTTTACCTTGTACTGTGAAAACCTTGTAATGTCAGCTGGGGAGAAATACAGGCAGCAGAAATACAGCGCCTTGAAAAAGTATTCATACCCCTTGAAATTTTCCACATTTTTTAATGTTACAACCAAAATCGTAAATGTATTTTATTGGGATTTGATGTGATAGACCGACACAAAGGGGCACAGAATTCTGAAGTGGAAGGAAAATTATAAATGATTTTCATAATATTTTTTACCAATACATCTGTGAGAAGTGTGGCGGCATTTGTATTCAGTCAATGCTTTGTAGAACCACCTTTGGCTGCAATTCCAGCTGCAAGTCTTTTTGGGGATGCCTCTTTGCTCATCTAGAGAGGGACATTTCTGCCCATTCTTCTTTGCAGAATCGCCCAAGCTTTATCAGATTGGATGGAGAGCGTCTGTGATCAGCAATTTTCAAGTCTTGCCACTGATTCTCCATTGGATTTAGGTCTGGACTTTGACTGGGCCATTCTAACACATGAATATGCTTTGATCTAAACCATTCCATTGTAGCTCTGGCTGGATGTTTCGGGTCGTTGTCCTGCTGGAAGGTGAACCTCGCCCGGTCTCCAGTCTTCTGCAGACTCTAACAGGTTATCTTTTAAGATTGCCCTGTATTTGGCTCCATCCATCTTCCCTTCAACTCTGACCAGCTTCCCTGTCCCTGCTGAAGAAAAGCATCCCCACAACATGATGCTGCCACCACCATGTTTCACGGTGGGGATGGTGTGTTCAGGGTGACATGCAGTGTTAATTTTCCACCACACATTGCGTTTTGCTTTTAGGCCAAAAAGGTCAATTTTGGTCTCATCTGACCAGAGCCCCTTCTTCCACATGTTTGCTGTGTCCCCCACATGGCTTCTCACAAACTGCAAACGGGACTTCTTATGGCTTTCTTTCAGCAATGGCTTTCTTCTTGCCACTCTTCCATAAAGGCCAGATTTGTGGAGTGCACGATTAAACGTTTTTCCTGTGGACAGATTCTCCCACCTGAGCTGTGGATCTCTGCAGCTCCTCCAGAGTTCCCATGGGCCTCTTGGCTGCTTCTCTGATCAATGCTCTCCTTGACAGGCCTGTCAGTTTAGGTGGAGGGCCATGTCTTGGTAGGTTTGCAGTTGTGCCATACTCTTCCCATTTTCGGATGATGGATTGAACAGTGCTCCGTGAGATGTTCAAAGCTTGGGATATTGTTTTATAACCTAACTTTATTGTTTTATAACACTGCTTTAAACTTCTCCACAATTTTATCCCTGACCTGTCTGGTGTGTTCCTTGGCCTTTATGAAGCTGTTTGTTCACTAATGTTCTCTAACAAACCTCTGAGGGCTTCACAGAACAGCTGTATTTATACTGAGATTAAATTACACACAGGTGGACTCTATTTACTAATTAGGGGACTTCTGAAGGCAATTGGTTCCACTAGATTTTAGTTAGGGGTATCAGAGTAAAAGGGGGCTGAATACAAATGCACGCCACACTTTTCAGATATTTATTTGTAAAAAATGTTGAAAACCATTTATCATTTTCCTTCACAATTCTGTGCCCCTTTGTGCTGGTCTATCACATAAAATCCAAATAAAATACATTTACGATTTTGGTTGTAACATGAAAAAATGTGGAAAATTTCAAGGGGTATGAATACTTTTCAGGGCACTATACATATACTATTGTAGGCACCATATTGTGTGTCCATTCCTATTTGAAGTGGATCTTCACTAGACATGTCCATTTCATTTTGTTTTGATTCGTTTTTCGGACAAAAAAAATCATTTTCAGAGATTCGGATGTGTATGAATCTCTGAATGGACATAGTAAGAAATGTCAACAAACCCAGAAAAAGTTATAACGAAATTAACAAATTATTTGTTTCATTCAGATGACGTCACATGATCAGGGGTGGACTGACAACTCATGGGGGCCCCCGGGCAATAGGGGATCATGGGGCCCCTGTGTCCTTGCCCATACTCAAAAAAGCCTATGAAAAAGGTACCAGGGGCATCTCATGGGGCCCCCTACTGACCCCGGGCCCTTGGGCAGTGCCCGAGTTTCCAAATGGTCAGTCCGTCCCTGCACATGATGCAATAGTAGAGCAGGCCAATGGGGGAAATGTATTTATTTATTACAGGAACTTATATAGCGCCATCAATTTACGCAGCACTTTACATATATATTGTACATTCACATCAGTCCCTAACCCTCATGGGGGGTACAATCTAAGGTCCCTAACTCACATTCATACATACACATACTAGACAGGAGCCAATTAATCTACCAGCATGTCTTTGGAATGTGGGAGGAAACCAGAGTACCCGGAGAAAACCCACACAGACACAGGGAGAACATGCAAACTCCAGGCAGGTGGTGCCGTGGTTGGGATTCAAACCAACGACCCTAGTACTGCCAGTCCGAAGGGCTAACCTCTTAGCCGCTGTGCTACCAAATGAATTGAATTTTTAGACTCGGACTCGGATTCAGATAACAAATGGATCCGAATTTTATTCCAATTGTTAAATCAGATGCACATGATGCCAGTCGATATTGTCCAATCAGCTCATGCCATTTCTCTTGGTGGGCTGGACTAGTGTCAGAAAATACAGAATCCTTTCAATTCAAATCCATCCGATAATATATCGAATATATATCAATCTTCCAGAAAAACTGCAACATTTTTCGAATCCACCCAGGCCAACGAATATACAAAATGAATCCCGAAAATGAATCGGTTCAACATGACGAAACAAAATTCTTCAATGAACAGCTGCATCCGAAATGAAGCGACAATTTCTGGATTGCACAGTCAAATCTTCAACCTTTTCTTTAGGCTGCGTCATGGACTGCCCTAGGTGTGACGCAAATGAATGCATGAAAAGGGTGCAAAAAAACGCACTACGCTCAGGTGTGAATGAGGTCCCAGGCCCCATTCACACTCGGCAATTTGGAATCATCGTGATTCCACCTGCGATTCGGCAATCACCACAAAGTGCAGCAACCCAAATGCTGTGCAATTTTTCTGCGATTGTTACAGAATCTCGCGGCAAAACGCGCCTTTTAATTGTGCCCAAAACAGAGCAGGAGCTTCTTTTCGGTGACAAATGTACATAGGGCAACCCATTGAAGTGATTGGGCTGCCTATACGTGACACACAGAACTGTGTGAAAATTGCCCACACAAAATCGCAAGTGGAAACGCGAATTCCTGCTACGCTCAGGTGCCTTAATGTTCCCCTTGACTGCTTATAGTACAGCTGAAAAAAAAAAACTAACTTAACCACTTCCAGTCCGGACACTTTCACCCCCTTCCAGTCCAGGCCAATTTTCAGCTTGCAGTGCTATCACACTTTGAATGACAATTGCGCGGTCATGCAACGCTGTACCCATATGAATTTTTCAGCATTTTTTTAAGACAGATAAAACTTTATTTTGTTGGTATTTATTCAGCACTGGCATTTTAATTTTTTTGGTATATAAATGAAAAAGTCCAAAAATTTTGATTAAAAAAAGTGTTTTTCTTATAAAATTTTGCAAATAAATAATCTTTCTTCACAAATCTTGGCCAAAATGTATTCATCTATCTTTTTAGTAAAAAAAAATTAGTTTATAATCAAAAATATAATTTTTCAAAACTTTTTTTACATTTTTATTTTACTCTTTTATATTATTATTAGTTTTTTTTTTTTGTTTTTTAACATACTGTCACCCTAGCAGTACAGTGTTACCATAGTGACACTGTACTACTTGTGGGGGGTGATGAAGATTTTTTTTTTTTTTTTTTACACTGATTGCTTTTACACCCATAAATGCTGTAAAAGCAATAATTTCTCCGTCTCTCTG